ATATCACATGTTTCTTGAATTGTCCTCATGTTAAGATCTTCCAAAATGCTTTTTTATCTAAGTTAAACAACGAGATAGCTGAAGTATTTTCATTTCAGGGGTAGGCACAAATATAGCAGAAAAAGAGAGAATGCTACGCTTGGAATGTTCAAATTAAAATTCTTGTCTTGTGTACATGCCTCTCAGTTTTTGTTCAATGTGTAAGGTCTACATAATTGTCAAAATGTAAAATATATGCCATGTTGAAAATTACAATATATCCCTCACATAGAAAGTGCAACAATCACTGCCTATGAAAAACATGCCACAGAAAACAGAGAAGAAAGATGTATCCGATAAAATGATATGGGGAAAACTGTGAAACTCCCCCCCAGCTAGGTACAATTAGAGGAGGGATAAGCACAGGATCTTTGAGACAGTGTGAGCTCTGCAATCCGGTCTTCCAGAGGGATTGGTAACCTAGGCACTCTTCCTTTTTGTATTCTGATGTATTAATCTTTGACTAATAATCCTTAATTAATAAATTGATTAAGCCTAGTCATTGGACATCTCTTGTTATAAATTTATATTGCACCCACAACAAGTGTGCTCGTGTCCAGTTACTTCAGTTAGTTGCTCAATTTGTGGTATGCTGTTGTTCACCACTTCAGAGTAGAAATTTTAAAACACTACTGTTTCCGTGCCCAGTAACTTGGAGCATTCTCTCCCAATGACTGAACTGCATTTGAACTTCCTCCCTGTCATCATGGAGGGGTGAGGAGCAGCCACAAATAAAAGAAATTCTGTTGTACCAAATGGTCATTTGTCTCAAAATCCTCAGTAAATCAGAGGTAAATTCTGTCAAACAAATGTAATATCTAATTGTGAGACCAAACCATCTTCAGGAAAGAGAAAAACTCACAACACAGAGGGCTTGAAAACACCTTCAGTTTCATATAAAATGAACTTCCAGAGCAGGTTATATCTGATAAATCAAAACAGATTCTCCCATTGCGTTCTCCTCTGGTCCATTCAAACTTTCTTCACCCAGTGCCACCTCATTATTAATGTCACGTTATGTACAAAAGATTTAAGCTTCATCACAAGAGGGAAATGCAGCCAACTTTCCCATCTGCGAACAATCCCAGTTCAGCAGGAAAAAGCCCAGAAGCAGCTTTGCCAATAGATGGAAGCCGAGATGAAAGCACAGAATGACTACTCTGTGTTTGGAATCCATTCAAATCCCCCTTCCAGGTCTGTGACACTTTCACATCTAGCCGCAGTGAGTCTGATTTAGGATCAAAGCGTGACACCTAAGCACAGGGGGCACACAGAACACGGCATCACATGACACTTTGGGAGGTGCAGGGGTAGAACGTGGGGAGGATAAACGCTATTGTGGCTTACACAGAAGCTAATGCTCCTGGGCCGAGGGGTGATTGTGACAGTGATGGGGAAGGAGGGAATCCCTTTGACACACCCCATCTCCTTTAGGTAACACAGAGACTGAAATTACACATTTCATCCCCCTCCCCCGCTCCTTGTTCTATTTCAATCTATTTTAATTGAGGAAAATGGTAGAAAAAATACTTCTGTCCAGCATAACCCTGAGCAAGGTGAGAACAACAGGAATTGAGACAATCTGTCCCCAAGGGGGAAGACGGTGACTAACAATCACTTTGTAATGGGGGAATGGTATCAACGTGATCCTCGGGGTTTGTCTAGACTAGGAAAAATGATGGAGGTGAGCTCAGGTCAAGGGGAAAGCTAACCCCAGCCACTGTACCCGGGTTATGTCTGCACTGCAAATGTAGTTGTGTTGTTAAAAGAAGATCGCTAAGCTGAGCGGCTACCTCCATGTAGAATCCCCGTGGAGACAAAGCACAGGTAGTTTTTACCTCAGTGTAGCTAGTCAAGGTCAAACCCATCTCCCCCACCTGGTGCTGATGGATATTTCTGGCAGGAGGAGGACACTCCCAAAGACAAAGGAGTTGATATAAAGGATCATGAAAATCACCCCAAAGAAGGGGGAGGTGCAAAATAGAGGCAGGCAACTCACATGGAGCTGAGACACCACACTGAAGAAAATGGTGCAAACTATGTGGGAATTCGCTAATGTATTTTACAAAAAATCTTTGGCCGGCCCAAGTCAAGACATTTATGGCATTACTCGCCTATGTGGATTCTCTTATGTTTGATAAAAGTTGAGCTCTGACTAAAACTCTTCCCGCACTCAGGGCACTTGAAGGGTCTCTCTCCTGTGTGGATTCTCTGATGTGTGATGAGGGTTGAGCTCTGACTAAAGCTTTTCCCGCACTCAGAGCATGTGTAGGGTGTCTCTCCAGTGTGGACTCTCTGATGAGTGATCAGATTTGAGTTCCGACTGAAGCTTTTCCCACACTCAGAGCACGTGTAGGGTTTCTCTCCTGTGTGGATTCTCCGATGTGTGATGAGGTGTGAGCTCCGGTTGAAGCTTTTCCCGCACTCAGGGCACGTGTAGTTTGTCACTCCTCTATGGATTCGCTGATGACTAATAAGGGCTGAGCTCCGACTGAAGCTTTTCCCACACTCAGAGCATGAGCAGAGTGTCTTCCCTACATGGATTCTCTGATGTGTGATGAGGTTTGAGCTTCGACAGAAGCTTTTCCCGCACTCAGAGCACGTGTAGGGTCGCTCTCCCGTGTGGATTCTCTGATGTGTGATGAGGTGTGAGCTCTGGCTGAAGCTTTTCCCGCACTCAAGGCAGGTGTAGGGTGTCTCTCCGGTGTGGATTCTCCGATGTGTGATCAGGTTTGAGCTGTGGTTGAAGCTTTTCCCACACTCAGGGCATGTGTAGGGTTTCTCTCCTGTGTGGATTATCCAATGCCTAATAAGGTCTGAACTCTCACTGAAGGTTTTCTTGCACTCGGCGCACGAATAGGGTGTCTCACCCGTGTGGATTCTCTGATGTGTGATAAGGGCTGAACTCCGACAGAAATTTCTCCCACACTCAGAGCATGTGTAGGGTGTCTCTCCTGTGTGGATTCTTCGATGTTTGATGAGATTTGAACTGTGATTGAAGCTTTTCCCACATTCAGGGCATGTGTAAGGCATCTCTCCAGTGTGGATTCTCTGATGTGTGATAAGGGCTGAGCCATGACTGAAGCTTTTCCCACATTCAGGGCATGTGTACGGCCTCTCTCCAGTGTGAACTCTGTAATGTGTGATGAGGGTTGAGCTCTGACTAAAGCTTTTCCCACACTCAGAGCATGTGTAAGGTCTCTTTCCCATATTAATTCTTTCATGTCGAATAAGGTCTGAGCCACTACTGAAGCTTTTCTCTGGCCTATGCTGATTCTCACAGGCTTTTGCCTCTCTACAGCTCCCAGAAACTTTCTCTTTGCATCTTCCTGCTAATGTCCCATGTGGTTCCAGTTGCTCAGCATCTTCCTGCTGGGAATACTCATTGTTCTCACTCACCATCCCATATCCTGGAAGGACAGAGAGAGAATCCAGACATAGGTCACTCCCTGTGCTGGGGAGAAAGGAAACGTCAGAGAGAGGAATGGGAAAAGGTGGGAACAAACTCAAATAAGTCTGGAGAGATCAAACAAAACAGAATTTAATTTCCGCCATTCTTTCCCCTCCACTCCCCACAAACCCTTCCCCAGAGGACAGAGAGAAGAGGGTCATTTCTTGGTCCACAGCCCATTCAGGAAGAAGGAAGATTAAGGAGGGAGCTACAACCTTATGTCAGTCAGGAGAGGCGGGAAGTCATGAGTGACAACTGCTATGAGGATGTCACACCTGCTGGGAACAATTCTGGAGAAGTCACAAGATCTTTGTAGGGAATCCCAAATGTTTCCTTCATTCATGGACAGTTTCTGAGTTGGTTTAATGGATGCCTCACCTGTCTGGGCACCTTTCTGGAGCTCTCTTTCCTCAGAGTCCTGAAAATCTGGGACCCACAGTTCTTCCCCTCGTTCCAGCCGGGAGATCACATCAGGTTTGGAAACTGGAAACCCTGCGTAAGAGAACAAAAACAAGAGAGATCAGTGGAATTTGTGGGATACTTGTCACAAAGAGCATTCCATGGTTTTACCCTCAGCTCATTTTAAGCATCCCGAGGCCACCTTCCTGGGATCCAAGCAGCAGGACAGTTATTATTATTAATCAGGTTTATTATAGTAGTGCCAAAGGGCCAATAAAAAATGGGGCCCCATTGTTCTAGGCATTGTATAAACAGAGTAGTAGATTGCCCATGCCCTGAGGAACTTACAATCTATATAGACAAGACACACACCGGGTCAGGAAAGAATCAGAATACACAAGCAGAGTGAACAATGTAATGGCAGACAGATATGATAAACACAGGCATAACTTGATACTATTGTATTTAACTGTGATGGGGTACACAGTCCCCACACTGGGCCTGATGGGGTTAAAGAACACTAATGGGCAGAGGTAGCCCTGCCCCCTCCAGCTTGCGAAGCATGCATCAGCTGGAGGAGCTGGTTAAAAGATGCTTAGAAGCCCAGGGAAATAGGGGGTGGGAGAGTGACCAGGCTGAAGGGAAAACAGGTCCTTCTCCTGAAAAGCCACTTGGAAGGTTGGAGCTGGGATGGCAGCACGATGCTGGTGAGGCCCACAGGTAGTGCCATCTCCAAACTCCACCCCCCTTTTTCTGACAACCAGCAGACCCCACAGGGCTCTGCTCTTTTCAACTCCAGGGGGGAGCTTGAGTGGGAGATGAGTTGGTGTTGGTGCTGCTTTGAGCAGGGGATTGGACTAGATGACCTACTGAGGTCTCTTCCAACCCTGATATTCTATGATTCTATGAGACACCAACCAGAGACCTTGGAAGAGGCTGTTGCCATGGTGGAGAACTACCTGATGTCCCTTGGGTCCATAGCTGAAATGCCAAAAGCCAGTCTGGTGCACCTCCGGGGCCCCAAGTCCCACTGAACCCAAACCTCAGTAAGGTTAACCAGGGGGACTTGGGCACTGAAGAGGGGGGATACAACGGCCAATAGAGGCGCCTGGAAGCCCACCCTCAGCTAGCCAGGAGACATCTGAGTCAAGCAGAGTAGCCTTATCGGAAGGGGCCATCCCACTCAGGAGAATTAATGTGAAACCTCTTTCTCCCATGGGGGCTAGTTGCATGTGAGCAGCCAGGCCATTTCAGGTGGGACTGTCCATTCATGGACTATAATTATGGCAGGCCTGGAGAGCGGATAACTGGGCTTCGAAAAGGGGCACAGGAAAAACAGTAGTCCCTTTGCTAGTGAATGGAGTAAAAGTACAAGGACTAAGACTCTGTCTGCAGCTGGACTTTAGTCAGTGGGTGGTTGGTGGGGTCGGGAGGAGAGTCTAGATGCATGGTCTTCCTCCAGTGTATCCACGGGGACATGCAACCCTGTCCAATTAGACAGGTGCAACTGACTCTGCAAGACCACACTGAGACAGTGCAGGCCAGAGTGGCCAAGGACCTGGCCTCTCTGGTCATACTTCGGCATGACTGAAAGTTTTTCAGGGAGGATGTCCAGGGATGGCGTGGAGCATCTGCAGAGGGGCTAGAACTGAACTAGAAGAACCAGGAGGACAGGAGATGGCCATGGTGGCCAAGAGGAGACGGCTCCATTGGAAGACAAAGATCCAGGAGAAGGAACACCCTTCATGGGCAAATGACTTTTCACCTGAACTTAACTGGAGCAGTAGGGGCCTGCTACCACCTTTCAACCTGCACCTGCTGTCTAGCAAATAAACATTGTGGGAGAGCAAATGAGTGACGCAACCCTGAGTCAGGTTCATGAACATCTCACCCATGTGGATGACAAAGTGTTAGACCCGCAGCAGCTGAAATAGTGGCCCTATTTTGAAACTGCTAGAGGAGAAATCATATTGGGTGATGAAGCAGGCTGAGACAGGGTTAGTCAAATGCAGCTTCGGTACCCAGGAATTTCCCTAGGGGAGATGCTTCAATTGGCCCATGCAGTGCTGTGCCGGGGCACTTGGGGACAGAGAAGACATTCAACAGAGTGACCATGAAGTTCTACTGGCCGGGCATCCACCCCAGAGGCACGGAACTATTGTGCCTCCTGCCCCAAGTACCAGTGGGTGAGCCAGAAAAAGACCTCAAAGGTCCCCCTGGTACTACTCCCCTCTGCAGGGGTCCCTCTGACAGGCAGGTGCTGGGATTGGGGGACAGAGGAAGGATCACTGGATTGCCCTGTTGTGTTCATTTCCTAGGAAGCATCTGGCATTGGGCCCTGTCAGAAGACAGGATACTGGGCTAGATGGACCATTGCTCTGACTCAGTACGGCCGTTCTTATGGACAGGCACAGAGCTGGTGGGTCCGCTGAAAACGTCTGCAGCCAGGTACTAATATACATTGGTGATCCTGGATTGTGCCACCAGAGATCCTGGGCCATTCCCCTCTGGTCAGAAATGGCAGCTGTCATTGCCAGTAAGCTCATAAAAGTATTTGCCTGAGTAGGGATCCGCAAAGAATTATTGACAGAGCAAGGAGCAAACATCACCTCACAGTTAGGCCTGGTCTACACCGGGGGGGGGGAGGAGGAGAATATCGATCTAAGTTATGCAACTTCAGCTACATGAATAACGTGGCTGAAGTCGATGTACTTAGATTGACTTACCGTGGTGTCTTCACTGTGGTAAGTTGACTGCTGCCGCTCCCCCGTCGACTCCGCCTGCACCTGTCGTGGCAGTGGAGTACAGAGGTCGACGGGACAGCGCTGGGGGTCGATTTATCGCGTCTAGACTAGATGTGATAAATCGACCCCTGCTGGATTGATTGCTACCCGCGTAGTGTAGACATACCCTTAGTGAACGAATTTTGCAACTTGATATGGGTCAAGTCCTTGAAGATGTCAGTATACTACCACCAAACCAACAGTCTGGTGGAACAGTTTAACAAAACATTAAAGAGTTGTGGTAGTTCAATCCACTGACTCGTGACACTGGGACCATCCCACCTGTCCTGCTCACCACCTGCGAGGTTCCCCAGGCAGCCATAGGTTTCTCCCCATTTGAATTACTACATGGGAGGCAATCAAGGGGAATCTTGGATCTCCTCCATGAGACATGGAAAGGGCAGAACTCCAGAACAACCAGTGTAGTGCAGTATGTTATAAAGTCAAGAAAGAAACTGAAGACCCTGGGGGCGCTTGCGAAGGAAAACCTGGAGAAGGCACAACACAACCAGGAGCAGGTCAACAGCAAGGCTCGTCTCTGAGAGCTCCAACCTGGAGACTGAGTGATATTTCTACTGCTCACACTGAAATCCAAGCTTCTGGCCTGATGGCAAGGCACCGCCAAGGTGATAAAACAGGTAGGGGAGATTGATTCTGAGGTCCAGCAACCCAGAAGAAAGAAGACAACCCAGGTATATCAAGTCAACCTGCCCAAGGCTTGGAAGGGACAGAAAGGCCTCCTCGTCATTCCATTCCCTCCCTACCCCAAACTCGGCCCTCAGGCCCCCACACCCAAGATAACATCACAGTACTGGTAGGGAAGAACCTGTGGCCCAGCCAAGAGCAGCGAGGAAATGGGGTAGAGTGAACAGGCTGGAGGGAAGCCAGGTCCTTCAGACATGCCACAGGGAAAGCTGAACCTGGGAGGGAACCACGATGCTGGTGAGTCCCAACTGCAGTGCCTTCACCAAACCCTGCCCTTTCCTCAGAACTGGCAGGCCCTGCGAGGCTCTGCTCATCTGAACTCTGTTCAGTTGCAGATTGTTTGGACTCTAAGGGACCATGTCCCGAGCTGAAAGAGAGGAGAGGTAGGAAGTAGCTCAGAGTGGCAGACTCACATCCTCTTCATGGAGGAGTCAGCTATTGTTTATTCCCACAGGGTCCTGGGCTGGGACCCGGTGCAGAGGGAAGGCCATGGCCTCCCTACCATATCCCGCTTGAGAGCTAAGCCAAAGACGGGACAAAGCTGTGATGCCTGTGACCTAAAAGCAGGGGTAGGCATCTCTACATCCACCACACTTTGGGGTGAGAGATGGGAAACCAGATATGCTAACCATTAGGCCACCTACCCTCCCTGAACAAACTTTAATGTTATGAATTTTACCTGTATATTTGAACTAGCCCTTGAAAGCATGAAAACATTACTAAGTATTATACTGAGATAGGCAGATTATATCAGCCCATAAAATAGTCACACACCTTTGTATCAAGAAGTGTCATGTATTTGTGTGTTCCTGGCTCACTGAGGGGTGGGTGGGGGATGGGTTTCCTGTGGAATCTGCTATCAGCAGGGGGTGATTAATGCCAAATTCCAAGGCTGATTATGCAGCTATCCAGCATTTGCAGCTTTGTTGTCCCCCTTCGGTAAGAGCAGTGACTGGTGTTACCTGTTTCAGGA